TTTGTGTACAGGTATGTTATGTACAAATGTAAGGAAATGGTATGGTATAAGTATGGTGTTTTTAAATAAATAAATGTATAAATAGTGTGTATTACACATTTATTGCCAAGTTAACTGTTGATGAGATGGATTGCCTGAGGGAAGAAACTGTTCTTATGCCTGGCCGTTCTGGTGCTCAGAGCTCTGTATATAGCGCTGACCAGACGGCAAGAGGAAAAAGAGGAAGTGGCCTGGGTGTGAAGGGTCCAGAATGATTTTGCCAGCTCTTTTACTCACTCTGGATGAGCGCAGTTCTTGGAGAGTGGGGAGTGTTGTACCAGTGATTTGCTCAGTAGTCTGGACTATCCGCTGCAATCTTCTAAGGTCTGATTTGGTAGCTGAGCTGAACCAGACAGTTACTGAAGTGCACAGGACAGACTCAGTGGCAGCAGAGTAGAACTGTGTGAGCAGCTCCTGTGGCAGGTTGAACTTCCTCAGCTGGCGAAGGAAATACAGCCTCTGCTGTGCGTTTTTGACAATGGAGTCAATGTGAGTGTCCCACTTCAGGTCCTGAGATATGGTGGTGCCCAGGAACCTGAATGTCCCCCCCTGCAGTCACAGTGCTGTTCATGATGGTGAGTGAATCAACAGCTCGTAGTAAAATAAGCTTAATCAGCAGCACCAAATGGATTTTAAAACTAGGTTGGGACTTTTGTATACGTCTATATTATACACAGAGAGGTTAGAAGTGCCTTGAAACACAATGTGTTTAATCACCGAAATTCAGAGAATGTGCGCGCACACTTTGGCCCATCCATCACATGCACTTTCTATATGTACATCTGGGTAGAGGCCTGAGAGGCAGGAATGGAGGGGCATGGGAAAAGATAACAAGATTACTGGGATGTGCAACAGTTTATGTGCTAATCCATTTAAAGTGGCTGCAGTCTGTCGGGATATTGAATGGGCTTTCAGTGGTTGAGACAGACACTAGGGTAATGGTGATTTGAGAGCTGACTGTCCTTCATGGCTGGTTGGTAGATCCTTGAAAAATTTGCTATAATCTGATGCTGGCCTGATGTTGTAATGCAGTAAAGAACTTATTAGAAAAGTCATCTATACTAGTGGTTGTCAACCAAGAGGCCCGGTCCCATTAGGGGGCCGCAGGATGACTTAAAAAGTATTTAAATAATTTTTTTTAAATTAATATTTCTATCTTTTCTATATTTAAAAATAAAATGCTAGAAAAAGTCAAGAAACAAACTAAAATCATTTTTTATATGTATTTTTTCCCTTCTCAGTGACTATTGTTTTTATTGTAGAAAATAAAGTTCTGGAAATTACATGAAATTTGGTTAATTAATATATTAAATGTCCCAGCTTCTGTTAATAAAAAAGCAGCTTTGTCTTAATTACAGCAGAATGACCAAAATATCTCTATGAGTCCAATATTTTGGCAGACTTGTACAATAATTTGTAATGTAAAAGCTTTAGTCTGCCTGAAATCATACCAGTCTGTTTTTGTGATTCGGACTAACAGACTTGTAATGTGGTTGTAGCTCAGTCTCGTCCATCATACAAAATATTCACGTTATTAAACTATTAGACTTGTTTAAATTGAGTTGGCTAGCTTCATGTGAAACTGTATTTCACACTGTCGTTCTTCAGGATGATGAAGTTGCTAAATACTGCAGAGGCATTGATATGTAAACACAGGCAGTAAAGTGCTCAGGTTATGACGTCAATATCATGAACATTTCCAAAAGGAGCTGTTTTTGCTGTATGAATGGTCTGAGTGTACTGAGGAGGGAGCTTTGGGTTGAGAAAGTGAGACTATTCAAAAGTTTAAAGTCAGTAGATGTTTTTTTTTAATGTTTTTGAAAGACGTTCTGCCTTGTGCTCACCAAAGCTGCATTTATTGAATCAAACATACAGTAAAAACAGTAATATTGTGAAATATTAAAAACCATTTTGCTAAGTAACATTTTTGTGTAAACCAAAATTCCCCAGGATTGTTTGATTAAACAAAGTTCAAAGGAACAGCATTTATGTGAAATGGAAATCTTTTGTAACATTATGAATGACTTTTTGATCAGTTTAATTGCTGAATAAAAGTATTAATTTCTATTAAGTATTAAGTATTAAAAAATTACTGGCACCAGTCTTGTGAACCGTAGTCTATGTCTACGTTGTATATTTAACCATTTACTTTAAAAGACCACAGAAAATCTGTTTTCTCCACTGACTTACTGAGAACCAAATGTAGCTCAGTGTACATAGATCTGTGTTTTGAAATGAGTTCAGTATGTGTGTTCTTTTTTTGAGCCAAAACACCTTTCTCATCCTGTGTGCTGTGTAAAGCCCTTAAGGATGGCAGCAGATGCATGTGTACACATCCATTCTTTCTTGTACATTACTCAGCCCTCAACAAACTCTCAGCCCAGGGCTGCAGCACTATGTTGCATCTAATTTAACGTGTGTGTGTGTGTGTGTCCGAGACAGACTAACAAATAATAGGCCTGCAGCCCTTCAAAGTGTGCCTTCTTAATTCGAATTAGAACCTAGAAGCTTGAACACATCCTGCCCACACTCAGGACAATGCGTTTTCTTTATAGTCACACAGGCCTAACATTAACATTTTTGTTTGCCGATGGTGTCAGATGTATTAAGAAAATCTGCTGATCTGCTAACAAGCGTGTAATTTGATGCTCTTGTTATTGTTGGATAGAGTGCCTTTACTCTCCAACATACTATAGTCATTATCTTTGGGAATATGAGAGTTTCCCTATAGCATTGGCTGATTGCCTGCACAAACCACAGAGGAGTTCAGTAACAGTTCAGCGTGATCAGTAATATAGTATTGAGCACAGTGATCTGTTGTGACCCCATGTGGCTTTAGATGGTTTTATTTTGATGTATAGTATTACCACATGCATGCATTAATCTGCTTGTACAGATCTACTACTCAGAACTGGTTTACCAAGCAACTATGTTCCTGCACTTTGTACTAGGGATGTTCTGATCAGGTTTTTTGCGCCCCTGATCCAATTGGTTAGAGTGCAAAAAGTATTTTAAGAGTTAGCATTGCCAAAAGAGCCCACAGTTAAAGAAACCCCCATTTAAATCCAATTATAAAGGGAAGGGAAGATACCCGAAATGCAAGCCAAGAACACAGGATGTAACCCCTGCACTACTGTAGCTGAAGGGGAAACTGAAATGCTGAGATGCTGGATCCTTACAAAACCCCCTCCGTGGTAAGATGAAGAGCTTGCTGGAAATGTAGAAGCTTAGGATAAAAGAGAGATCAAGAGGAAACCTGTGAGAGACTTGCTGAGGTCGAACTAGCAGTCATTCTTCAGCTGTCATAGCAGAAGTTCAAAGCGATCAGCTCCCATCTGTATGAAGAGAGTCTGACATTTCTGCGCAGACACAAATTTATGTTCTTGTGGCAAATTGGACATGAACATCCTCACAGAAATTGAACCATGAGCTTTTGGATCTGCAAAAGAAAATCAAAGTTGATTGACCGAAAAGGTTTTGCTTCAGTCAGATACAAACCACCAGCACAGACTCCATTGCATGTAGACCAAAACATTGAGCTTCATGAAGCTCTGAGACCTGTTGAAATGCAAGGTCTTGTTTCAGGGTGAGGTCTGACTCACAGCACGTTGAGTCTGCAAATAAAAGGTGGTGTGACCCAAAGCTAATCTGCTCTAGCAGAGGGCACTTCCCACTGACACTGCCTCAGACCGCATTCTATCTCTCTCTCGATTCTTCTCTCGCTCCTCGTCATGCTGAGCAGCAGAAATATAACCTTCCTGGAACCCCATCTCTTAGAAACTTTGATGCAATCAGGAAAAGGCTGACAGGTCTGGTTCCTGAAAATAACGCTTTTGCTGACTTTACGTGATGGACAGTTGTACTGCAGTTTCTTAATGTTTACGAGGTTATTTTTGAATAGCCCCAAACTTATGACAATCTCATGTTAATGTTTGTTGATCTGTTTTTCTAGATTAGCAGCATTGTTATGCAAAACACCTAATATTCTAAAGGACCCATTTAGTCATGACAGAATTGTTGTAAATTTGTGTCATTTGGCAATTGGATTTTCATCTTACAGTTACACGATCTTGAAAAGTGATGCAGCTTTTTATGCAAAATAGCCTACTTCTTAATTTTCTAATAGTAAGCAAACTAAATTTTATGTCCAAGCAATCTTATACAGGTCTAGATATATCTGTAAAAGTTTACCCTGTGGGTAAGATGTGTCACTGGTTTAACTAATAGTGCCTCCAAATACAGGAAGTACTGTTGCAAACACTATTATAAATTGTTTCACTAATCACTACATCCAGATATTTTGAATAGTCAACCTGGTCTTGACTGGTATATGAAAAGGAAATTTCGAATAAAAGCTGGAATAGGTTTGTGCATTTGTTTGTTTGTTTGTGTGTTGTTATCTCTCTCTTTGTCTCTCTCTCTCTCTCTCATTTGTGTTCATATTTTTATTTCTATGTAAATGTAAGTTGTTCACATATTCTCCAATGATTTGACTTACTTATGTCATCTTACCGCTGATGTTGGTTAAGTATTGTCATTTGACAATCACTTTTTTTTCATTATTAAAAAAAATATTTTTAGTTGATTGCAAACATCATGAAATATAATTAATATTTAGTATTAATTGTACCTCTCATTTTTGCTTGCCTAGCAGTGTTATTTAGTGTTATTCATATTATTTTCAGTTTTCATTTTAATTTGAGTAATTTGTTATTTGCATTTGTCATTTTTATTTGTTTTTTTTATATTTCCATTTAACTAAAATTATTTTATTTAGGTTTTAGGTTGAGTAATTTTTACAGTTCAAATTAAACTTATTTCAGTTACCGTGGCAACATTTCTATTTTTTGTTTTTCATGTTATAGCCTGCTTTTTTAATTACTTACATGAATCATGCACTGCATGATTCTGGCCTCACGTTATGCCTGTCTCTCTGTCCACCCCTCCTCTTCTCTCTGTAGAAAAGTTGGTAGCCTATCAGAGGGAGTTTCATGCCCTGAGGGAGCGTCTGCGTGTGGCCGAGCACCGAACCCTCCAGCGCTCCTCTGAGCTCAACGCCATCCTCGAGCAGTTCAGACATGCCATTGCAGAGACCAACGGCAGCAAAGATGCTCTCTCCAACTTCTCAGGTTACTGGACGTTAACGTGGATGTACACAAAAGAGTTGTGTGTTATTGTCACTGTATTATTATCTGTCATGCAGTGAACTGGATGACAATTTCCACAAATTAGTGGGAACAAATATATCCTTTGTATAGCTGCTTGCTGTTTTTTAATTAGCAAGCAGTTTTTTTTACCTACACGTTATTAAAGAGTGCAGCAGTGCCTGTTCACTTTTTCACTTGCCTTGGTTCCGGAAGAATTTTTCCTATTCATTTTTTCCCATAGGGATTAAAAAAAATTCTAAACATTGAACCAAAGCAACCCAACTATGAGGTGAATTATAACATTAAAAACTTTGAATCAAAAAATATTTGAAAATCAGACAAGCCACACATACACCCCAAGCCAAACATTAATTTAGAGCAAATATTGATGCTTAAGTTTCCAAGGAACAGCTGTCCTAGACTTGATAATGCAGTTGTGCCTGGAGTGTTGTTTGATTTGACTTTTTGGAAAACCTATTTAAACTGCTCTTACCTGCTTCTAAGTACTGAGGATCAATAAGTGTTTTAAAGAATTTTACGTTATTGTATTTTGTTTTTCTTTTTACATAGTTTATGTATATTGTAACAATGCTGAAGTACCCTGGTTTCTTACAGATGAGACACAGAAGTTGTTGAAGGAGTTGGCTCACAGGAAGCCCCTCCAGGTGCCAAATATCTACCACCATCTGCCTCACTTGCTAAACAATGAAGGCAGCCTGCACCCTGCTGTACAGGTGGGCCAGGGACGTACCGGAGGTGAGCCAAACAACGTACTATTCATCAGCTTTTTAAGCTATCACAGTAGATCATTATCAAACATCTGATAAACTGACTGAAATATCACTCTTTTCAATCCAGAACTGAAGTTCAAATGTCCTTTGATTATGACCGAACTATCATTGATTGATGAAAGATGCTGCTTTTCACTGTGCTTTGGCCAAGTTCACTAGACAATTGCAAATCACTGTTATGGCCTTGTTAAGACTCAGAGCTGTCATGTGAGGTTTGTTTTTCACCCTCCATTCCTCACATTTTCACCCAAACAGCGGGGTGTTGCTGTTTGCCTCATCCTTGCTTCTCATATTGTGTTACACGCCTGTTATCCACAGGCTGTTACAGGCCCGGTCAGTGTGTCGGAGATGAAGCTGCAGCCAGCGGCCCTGAGTGGAGGCCCAGAGACCTTTTGTCCCTCCTTCACACACCCACAACAGGCCTATCAGATTGTCATTAGAGGAATCAAGCCCTCCTGGGTTCAGCGAGGGTTATGGAGAGGATAGTTATGGGACATGAACGTATGGGAACATAAGGGTGGAAGCCGCAGGGATAGGAACCACTTACCAACATTGTTTTAGGGGGTGGTGCAGTTGTGAAATCTTTTAACTATAATAATGCATTTTTTGTTTTAAAATCAAAGCAGCAACCTAGAGTACTAGAGTTCTTTATCATATCATATCATTATTGTTTATCCTAAAAGTAAGAAAAATATTTGTAAAATCGGACAGAAAGTTAAGGGTACGTGAAATAGCAGTTTAGCTACCATATTGGCCGATATGAGGCATTTAACTGCTCACACACTCATTTCTTCCTGTTTTTACATTTTGAACATCATTGAACATTATATATTAATTTTCTCCTTCCTTTGAGTTGTTGAGCCTATTTGTTTTCTTTCTTAACTATGCACTATTATGTGGTTAGTTGCATTTTGCATAGTTTTTTTTTCTTCCCCTGCTTCCTGCAACCCTACCATTAATTATAAATTGAGTTTTCAAAACATAAGTAAATTGGAACTGGACAGGAAACTGGCAATTTTGTAAATGGACAACAGTTGGCAAAATATATAAATATGTACATTAATTTACTCTTCCCTTCATTTGGTTTTCTATTCGATCTCTGCATGAATATGTGGTTAGTTGCATTTTGCATTTTCATTTTCTTCCCCTTCCACAGCCGGTGCAGATGTACAATGATGTTCAACACATTTTTGGGTCACGCCCCACCAATTAAAAACTACTGCATTACAATACCGCAGAATACCTCAAAGAAACTGTCTGAAGGAAGTGAGATTGAGTAAGAAGGTAATAAACGGAAATCTTGAAGTATTTCTGCAGTATTTAATGTATCCATAAGCTGACTAGAGCTAAACACAGTGTTTGTGATTGTAGGGATGTAAACAAATATTTAAGATCGGTAGACAAAAACGTAAAAGTTTAAGAATCTCTTGATTATTAATGTGCATATTGTAAAGTCAGTGTCCCCTTCAATGTCTGTAGTGGTTGCAGCCCTGCTTGATTGGCTGGGCTTTTTTTGCTAGCGTAGTGACCAATCCACTGATCTGGCTAATCGACACCCTAAGCCTGGAGCTGTCGTGCTCTTTTGTGGTGAGCTCTGTTTTGTTCTTGTTTTTGTGATACATTGTACCGCACTGTACTGTATCAGGCAGTATGTGGGTTAACGACAGAGTTAAGTCAACGGCTAGCTGGCTTTATTACAAGCGACATCCTATGCTGGGACAGACTGCGGTGAATGACAACAATGACATTAGAGAATGTCAAAAAAACTTTTTTGTGTGACTGACCCCTGTCACACGAGGAGGTTGTTTTTCTGAGCATATGGGAAAAACTGAGAGAACTCGTTTTGGAAAGCTGAAGCCCACCCATGCTCTACGCCCGCCTCCTTCAAACCCACAGACGGACCTCTCCTGCTGGCTACAGTAATCTCATCCTCCTGTTTCCAGACTGTCTGTGGGCAAGACTGTGGCCGGCTCTGGCTTGTGCCCGTGCCTGCGGTCCCTCTCTTCTCATTGAGATCATGGCTTAGAGGGCTATTTTTAGAGCATTAAATGGGGACATCATCTTCTGCCCAGACCCTAGAGACTAGTGCACCATATCTCACGCTCAACACCACCCCCTGATCGATATAGACTCGGGTTTGCAAACAGTTGCTTGTTAAGAGTCCATGGAGAACTAAAATATTCATGACAACTGTATGAATGTTAACTAATGGTCTAATAAGCATTATACAAGCCAATGACAAAAAGTGAAGAAAAGGAAAAAGGTTTTGAAAAATATTTATACCATACAAGTTTAAATGTAATGACTAATTTTTTTTCTGATGTAAGCATCAAAACAATGCCCTACCATATTGCAACGCATCAAAGCAGTCAATCCAACACAGTCAAGAATAACTTAAAGAGGTTGCCACCGTTTAGTAAACTGTGAACTAGCTTTGGCTCTTCCTGCTGACTTGAATGGTGATGCTTCCCGTTTGTCAGTTGCTGGCCTTTCATTTTTAACCAGAAATGTGCACGCTGCTTTTCTGATGTTCACTGAAGTTTACGTGTCTTTTTCCCGTGTCACTAGAAATCTGTTTTGAATCGTTGTTACCAAAGGCGAGACATGTGAGGAAAAAATAAACGATCAGTTGTGGGACTATATTCTGTCATCATTTCCAAACCATTCATTGCTGAACTTTCTACCGTCCGTTACTGGAAATTAAATTAAATTACTTGTTGATATGCCCCGATCTCAATAAAGTTTACACACGCTTTTGGTCCGTGAATTAGATCTCACTCGGGACGCGCGCTGTCTGGAGGTTTGGCCAGGACCGGTTCCAGAATTAAATCAACATATTTTATGTTCCGTCCATTGCCAATCACTGATATTTCGAGACGGAATCCCGCATAAATATGCTGATGTCATTCCCGAAACTTTGCAGGGTGTCGCCTATGTGTCCGAAAAAAAACGAAAGTTTCATACAACTTCTGAATGGATTATACCCTAGAAAGTGTGCAAAGCGCGCTCCCTTTATCACTAAAAAGCGTCACTCATCTTCGTTCATCGCGATCTGTGTTTATAAATATGAATTATTAATTTAGAAATATCATAAGTTTTGGCAAGTTGCACCAGTTTCTGGAGAGTCGCACCACATGGCATTTTACAAACAACCTTTTCAAATTTAAAAAAGATCAAATTTTAAGAGACTTCTTGACATTGACACAGTTTTTTCTGAGACATGACAGTTGTGTGTGTGAGTTACCTTTGTCTGCGCTTCTCTCTCTACAAACAATGAAGCTGTTTAGTTTCTTCGATTTTACCTTGTTGTTTTACCTTGTCTTGTATCTATGCTATTTTATTAATAAAAGTTGCGGGGCAGCTCCGACAATAAGTTTCTGTGTGTGCGCAGCGCAATCTTCAATCTCCAACCTCTCTCCCCTCTCACTGTGTTTATGTGCAAGTGATGTGTGTGTGATTGTGTGTGTGTGTGTGTGTGTGTGTGTGTGTGT